GCACCATCGGTTCGATTTTTTTCGCTCCATTCGGTTCGGTTAACCGCGATTTTCGGTTTTAACAATTCGAATTACCATCCCTATGGTGGATGTCAACGTTGGGTGGATGTTGATGACTGTACAAGGGGATGGCGACTAGCCGGTGCGCAGGGGTTTGGTGGGGATGTATGTGAAGATTAATTTACTTTGATAATATTATTATTTAAAATTAAAATATTGAATTAACACATTACTTTTGAAATTTTAAACTTAATCTCTGAAAATTGAACTGATGCATACTTCATAGTTGATATATGAATTTTTCCCTTCTTACAAACCTAGTGGGAAATGGGTCAATGGATGATCAATTTCCACGGATTAGGTTAATGAGTTACATTGGTTAAGCCTACACCATGATGCAATCTCCGAGCTAGAAGCGAAAAAGGAAAAAAAAAATCTAACTATAATGGCATAAATATATCCCCTTAACAATGTATTATTGATTATTAATGAAACAATACAATTAATAGAAAATTGGCTTTGTTGTGTATAAAATTTGCCTTAATTGCTTATTGATAGAATATTTCTTTACCATTGAAAATTATTGAATTAAATTAGGGAACCCATTTTCCTATTTTGACAATACAAACCATGTACCAATTATACTCAAATGACACATTTGACATGTTAAACTCGAACAAACCAACAAACAAACATACCTCACGTCTCTTTCTTTTTTTCGTCATGTCCAATTCAACATATCAAATATGCTATAAATAATCCGAGTAATTTATTCAGCGAGTTATTGCATTACTGTACATTAATCTAGCGATTGAGCCCCTGAACATACTTGTAATTTCACTCAATAATTTTATGAAATCTAGCAGATCGACACATTTGTATCTGTCCCCTTCACATAAGTTGAATTGCTGCTAATACTTAAACTTAGAACTAAAGAAGAATAGAAAGAAAAGGCAGTGCAACTGTCATAAATATCAGTTTACTAAAATATCTGTACGAATGCTTCAAGAAAATAAAAAAAATCTGTAAAAGATATTTTCTTGATGTGAGACGAGTTCGAGAACTCAGCACTCCAACTTGACGCAAAACACAATATATCTGAACGTCTTCATCTTTCCTGCAGCAATTTCAAAGCTACTCGGTAAGTTACTCTTTTTCGCAGTACGATAAAAATTACTCTTAAAAATGATTAATTTTTTTACTTGCATGTTTGGCTAAACCAAAAAAGTTTAACAAGTTTCAAAATATATATTAATTTTATTGGTCGAAGTTGAAAATAACAAGTTTCTCATTTTGATAATAAGTAGTTATTTTAAAAAATAAGTACCTTTTTTACTTAAAAGTAAAAAGAAAAAAAAACTAACATATCCAAACATGCTTGGAAACAAAAAATTATTTAAAAAGTAGCTTTTACATTTTTGAAGCTTAACCCTCCAACAGGCTTACATTAAAAGAAGTAAATTAACTGAACAGTTCGGAAATAAAAAGTTACACGAAAACAACTTTTTACTGCTTTTAAGGTTAGGCAAAGACAGTAGTAATGCAAATTCCGAATGTAAGAAGACAAATAAGTGAAACTATACTTATATATCACTTACAAAAACAAGGGAGACATCACTTAATAAGGATGCATCTGATGGGTGATCCCTCGGCTCCAAGCAACCTCAGAGGCAAGCAGTGCACGGAATATATCCCTGGCTGAACATCGTCAAGTTTCAGGCCTTCAACAAGGATGGTTTCCTGAAATATTTCAGCAATACTAGTATTATTTATGACGAATTATACAACAAGAAACCTTCATCAGTATCACACGTATTGTCATGGAAAACATTTTGAGAGTTGAGATTATATTTGAAATAGCACTGTCAACCAACGCTCCACAGTTTGCAATGACCAAGAAATAAAGATCAAGGATCAATAGAAAAAAATAAAAGATCAAATATCTTTTTCGTCTATAAACTTCATTGGCACAAAATGAGAAAATGATGCACAAAAATTGATATCTAGTTACAATAAGCTAAAAGTGAAACTTTAGAAATAATCAGAGAAATAATACTTACTCTGCCTTCTAGGAAAACAAGATGAGAAGGAATGAGATCATCAAAAGCAGCAACAGATAAGTAATCAATTCCTACAAGGAGAATAAACAATGGTAGGATCGTTAGCTTCAGAAAAGCACAAAGAAATTATAATTCACAACCTAGTGGTGGGGTAAAAATAATTTCTGGCTATACATGAAACAAGAGGCTGAGTTTAATTCACATCTTAATAGAAAATTCAATACAATATTTTAAGAACGTGTTCGGTTTGGAAGGATGAGATAGCATTGAACAGCATTAAGGGAAACAATGTAGCTAAAATCTTGTTCATATATTGTCTAGTCATGTCTTTGCATACCAAACACGCACTATGAGTGCTGCTATACATTACTGGATGTAGGGTATCAGTGCCCCATACGTGTAAGCACAGCATCGTTGTTCATCAAAAGAATTTTGTCAGCAACCAAACTAGAGTAACATGTAAAGATATAAAACTTCTTTCTTGATTGATAAGTTAGGGAGGACCAAATTGGAAAACAAAATCGCAAGGCTTACCAACAAGTTTAATGTCAGTGTTATTTATGAGCCATTTAGCCCCATCTTTCATGAATCCCACGTAACTTGTGTCAAATTCCTTCTTGTACATAAGGCGCCTGAAAATAAATACCATTCAAGGTCTTGAACTTAGATGCTTTGTATATAGCAAATATTCCTGCAACTTAACCAGTCTTAGTGCGTGCTACTATAAAAATATGTGTCCCGTCATTGAATGGAACACTCGATAGAAGAAAAATAAGTCGATAACCCCCCAGAAGTTGAATGAAAACACTGTACATTGCCATTGGGGTCACAAACCAAGGAAAAGATGTCGCTAAGGAAGTGAAAATTGAAGGCCGAAAAATTTTAAAGAAATATTTAAGTTGCATGTTCTATTAATGGGTACGGCCAAGGCATTAATTTCACTGAAACAAAATTCAATTATAATAGACACCGGTCACCTGAGAAATATAAAAGCTGATATTAGATAAGGCATCCTTATTAGGCATCCTCAGTTCCTTGCTGGAAAAATAGCTACAAGTAAAGTTACCCTTAATGTAAAATTACCTGTCAGTGTTTAGTGTTCTGAAAAGGACTCTTGTCACACCCTTGGGAATATTTAAGGACTTCATAACTTGAGCTGAAAAGAAAAAATTGAAGAGAAAAGAAAGAACAAAGTCAATACTTTCAGCAATATGCACAAAACCATGAGATGCTAAAAGAAATGAAGTCACTTGCTCAAGCAACCACCATGCAGTTAAACACTTGAGACAAACATATTTCATGGATTTTACATTTTGGCTAAGCAGTGTACCTATGTAAGCACATCTCATGTGCACATCCTTAGCATGCACAAGTAATCAGAATGTAAACAATTGTCTTATTGAGTACTTTGTCACTCTATCAATTTCAGTCTAATAGGGATTAGTTTTCTCGGCATATCTTGGAAGGACAACAATCCCTTATCCTCTCTTTAATCTTGGTTTTAAATTAGAAGTGAGGAAAATAACTGAATATGTTGAATAAATTCTTACAAAATGTGGTTGCAAGGTAAAATAAGAATGAAAAGTTGGAAAAGGATGAAAAAAGATCATCAGGTTCAAATCCAAACCTCACTGGTCACTCCTTTGGAATCATGGGGAATTTTGCCATTCTTTAATTTTGTACCTTTTTCTTGCATTAAGAGTTATCCATCTTTGGTGTGGAATAAAATTAGATTTTCAGTAGATTTTGATAAAAGTTGATGAAATGCGTGATTAAAAAGTTGCGGGTCCTATGAAATATGTGATTAAAATTAATTGTTGACTTTGATTTATGTTAAAATTTGGATTTTAACTTCTACCAAAGAGGGGCTTAATGTTTAATTCACTGAGCAGATACATGAATATGATATAAGGAGAGCAAATAAAACAATCCTTCCAGGTGGACTTTAAATTATAGTTGGAATGCATACCAGTTATGTTTTTGTCTCTTGGAACATCAACAAGCAATGCTGGACCTGTGAAAGTACGTAAAGAAAGTCATAATTGCTGCATGAAATTGTGAAAGGAAATTATCTGCCAGTTAATTTTATAATTCATCCGTAGAGCACAAGAAGGAAATATCGACATTATGGCACAAGTAACAAAAATAAAGAAAAAATTAGTAAAAGAAAATTATGCCAAGAGAGGGAAAAAACGTGACACCATCAAGAACATTCAAGCCCCAAGAGCTAGAATGTACTAGCAACATGATGTAATAAATTGCAAAGCAAAAGGTAAGACATGTCTTCATTGATTTCGTCAGCCCAATGCACATTAATTATTTTTAATCTAACAAAGTTGTACCATGTCATAATCTAGCTTCCAACAAGAAAAGATCAGCAAAGAGTATTCGAACGGTACAGAACAACAATGGAGCCAATAGTAAGAACATTGGATTATAGAGTTTAGCAATGTTACGCTTGTACATATTCAAACTTCATCACAATCGCTCTTCCAATCTATTCTCAAGTGTTATTATGCCAAATCTATGGGGACCTTGATACTCACAAATTTAGAACCGTAGCTACAGTTCTGGAAAAACACAGGAACAGAATTTTTCCCAAGCTTCTTACGGAGGTTGAAACTAGGTATCTCGGTATACTCTTTCTAAAAAAACGTCACGCGCACAAAACAAAATACACCTTGCCCTCTTAAATAATTTTTGGGTCTAAAAAAATAAAAATTGGATTTGCTTATTTAGGGAAGTGGCTTTACGCGTGTGTGTATTCTCAGAATCTGCCTCATAAAGTTGCTTGTAATTTCATCAAACATGCAACGGTTATAGTTCATACCACCAACGTACAAGCACGCCCGCAGACAAAACTAAGGGGGGAAATTGAAGTTGATAAGTGATTGATTATCCATACCGTTGAGAACTTCAAGGTCCAGGGTGTCAACATCAAATCCGGCATCAAAATAGTGGTCGATAACATGACCAGGTGCATCAACGTGAGTTCCAGTGTGAGTCGGGAGCTTCATCTCAGAGTTATTAGCCAGAGACCCATTCTTCATGCTCTTCGGAAGCCACAAGAATTGGCCGATACCGTCGTTGGATTCCCACGACGGCATGTCCGGATGGTACCTGTGGCTGATGTCGATGATTCGGCCGCCACCGTACACTTCACGGCGGACGGGGCCAAGATCTTTTTCGGTGGAATCAAGCCCGTAGGGAGGAGGATATGCGGCATCGGTGGCTGCGATGGGGTGGATGATTGTGTAAACTACAGCGCATATTAGCAGAAAGGAGTCAAAGGACTGAAGACGTGCCATTTTCGGAAGTTCCGCAGGCTAATGCTTTTTAGAGAGGGAAGCGATTAAAAAGAAAATTGAGTTTGGAAGAGAGTAGGAGTGAGTTCCAATTGAATAATGCTATCCACTATTGACTAATTCATTATAAAAGGCATTACTCGTTCGAATTAGAGTTTTATTACTATTTTTTGAAATCAATGAGTAAAGTTTCACCATGTTATTATGAATTTTACAAGTAACGACCGACTTATTCAACAAGCGAGTCGAGACAAAATGAGCTTTTGAATGACGAATTTGAATAGTTGGCTCGTGAGCATACGAGTCAATTCGCAATCAGGGAGTGAATGCAAGGCTCACCCTACGTCGGTAGAGCGCATACTCACGTACGAGCTAGCTTGCGTGGTATGCTAGCTCAGTGGTTTGGCTCAACCATTGAACACATGTACTTGTTATACTAGAATTATAATTACTAATTAAAGATATACATCGTTATTTATTTTTTATTAATAGGATCATGCTAGTGATTGTCGGTTGACAATCTCGGTTGACAACTACTCACATAGGGGTCCTTTTTTTTTTTTGGAATTGTTTAAACATGCGGACCCCGCACACATGTGAGAGGTTGTCAACCTCGATTGTACAAATAACATTTTTTATCGCTCATTTTTTTATTTATAATTTAAATTATTTATAAACATTTACCAAACAAGTTTTATACTTGTTTTTAAAAATCTATTTTTTTTTTTTTGTAAACAAAGCTACTTAACTCTGTATACCTTCCTTGTCCGTGGATATTTTTTAAGTAAACAAGCTTATTCAACCTACAATGTCCCAGATTGAGTTGGATTCCAAGGAGAATTTAGCTATTTGTACAACTATTGTTGACAATCACTGTTGACAAATTTGGAGTTGTCAAAATCTAGACCATTAATTTAAAATATAATTATTAACATTTTTAAAATGAATGAATGTGATACTGACAAGTATGAAATTGTCAATTAAGATTCTACAAATGACATGATTCATCTGAAATTTTGATGTTTTATACCACAGTTTCCATTGTGTAATTGGAATATACTGAAAAAGGAGCAAGAATATACTTTCTCCAAAATAATCACTGTTGGCATATGTCAACTATAAGAAATTATTACAATGCAACAGCCAACAGGCAGACAATATTTTTGAAAATACAAGGTTTTACAGGCACTGAACAGAGAGAAATAAAATCAAATCAACTTTTGGATGCAGATTGAAAAATGAAGACTGCCGTCAAAACTCCCACCAGTGCTGTAACAGCCAAGGCCACTGTAGGCAAGGGGGCCGTGAGCCCAAAATTCTGCAAGATTAAGAAAAACAGCCTCAATAAAAGCATATGGTGAAAAAACTACCGACCCAGAACATGCAACAAAAAGAAAAGGAAGAAACAGAGAAGAATTTAACAGCTATAACTTGATTTATCAAACTTTCAGTTCTGGAAATAAAAAAGTATAAAGAATAGCATAATCGTCAGTACTGAGGAGATGTTATTTCCAATTTTGCATATAGGCTGTAATGCTGGAAAAGTTCACAATGTAGAAGCCAATTTCCGTGAAGGATAAACAGTTAAGAATGTCAGAAAGCAATTTCCATTAGACAATATTAGAGGACAATTCTCTAATAGCCTAAGCTTTTAGATGAGTTTGTTCGACATGTCATCTCTTGTATTACCTCCATTTTAAAATATTGTATGCGTTAATGCCTTTAATTAAAAAATGAATCCAAGCTGCACGTTAGAAGACGTGTTTGAAGACAATTTAAATAAATGAGTCCCTTTTCAAACAGTTTAAGCTTTTTGATGAGATGGTTCAATATTTCCCAGCCCACAAGCGAAGGGTATCAATTGCAAAAGCCAGAAGATTCAACGTGCGATCTGGCTTTCATGACAGGATGTAGTTATTGAATCTGTATCAGGGAACCACATATCTATAACATATTGGATAAACTTATACGGTCACACAAAGTATCTCAAACAACAAGAGAAAAGAGCATCCTTTGAGAAGAACATCCTAAATAAGGCTATCTATAGTTGGAGTCTTGAGAGGGAGAGGAGGCTCCAATCTTCTTTTCCTCTAGTCCACTGGACATTGCTCGAATGCCCTTATCTACAATCCCTATGTTCTACATTAAAAACTCAATTGGTACTCTCCATTCTCTCTTCTAAGCATAGGAATCATTGAGTTCAAGTGGAACTAAAAGCGCTATTGTGACTATCAACCCAAAGGTTGAACTTGAAGACAAAGTAATTGGGGCGTCAAAGATATATAGAAAACATGTGCTTCAAGTCAACCAAATCCAAGTTACATGCATCAGAAACCACACATCCATTAAATGCTGTAAATAGCAGAGTAAATATAAACCATGCTTATATTCAGTCTTGGTTTAAGCTTGTATGTTGAAGATTTATGGGAAACAAGTGAATCGGCAGAATAGAAAGAAGTAACCTACCATGCAAACTAGAATCAACATAAGCACTTGTAGGCACACGTACCTCTAGAAGTCCTTTCCCTGTTGCTATTTCAATACTAATTGCAGTCGCAAAGCCAACCATTCCCAGACGTCCAAGCCATACATCCAAACTGCTGCCATCCTTAGTGCTCTGCTCACATCTTATGGAAACTGATGTTGCTTTGGTTGCAGGGTTTCTTTGGCGAGGTCTCTGAATCACTGGGAATGAAAATGAGAATGAGCTTAGCTACTACCCAATCCAGTTCTAGTTCAATTCTACCAACTTTACAACCATAAATGAAAGTCAAGCAAATACAAACCTTCGAATGCACAAGTATATTGTTAACTTAAAAGAAACTGAAAGCATGTGAAACAATGAAAAAATCAACAAGAGGGAGAGATGGGCAGGTGTGGCCATGGGCACATGGTCTTCTTCCTCCTCTCTCATTACTCATAGTGAGTTGACTAGTTAGTGATAGTAAAATCAAATCAAATGGACAGGAGAAACTCCGGTTCTTCCAAATTGCTAATAAATCCTATTTTTGACGAGGCAGTTGACAGGAGAATCCGATTTTGACCATTATTTTCACAATCTCGAAAAGAAGTCCACCACAGCTATTTTATACTTGTTACTGAATGTCAAAATTGCTTCATCTTCAGTTAACAAATATTCTATCCAATTACCAATTATGCTGAATCCCTAACTAAATTAAATCAATACTCAGTAAAATCTGTTCCAGTAGAGCCTATCCAAAAACCGTAATTCATTCCAATTGCAAACTAGTAGAATTAAATAAAAATCTTCAAGATCATTGAAACCCAAAAGTAAATTATTGCAGCATTCAAAGACAAAGTCGAAGGGCTTACAGATGGAAGAACCGGTGGCGAATGCCGTTCCAAAATTGCGAGAGAATCCAGCAGTTGAATTTACTCTTGCCGGAGTTGACACGAAAACATCTGGCAACACACATATATAATCAACCGCAGTTACAGTTTTACCTGAAACTTGAAGAATAGTACGCATTATAAAATGGGGAAGAAGTAGAATTACCTCGAATAGAAGTGTAATAGCAGAGGGAATTGGAAATTTGAGCCATGGCCATTTCTGGTTATAGGGAGAAAGTAGTTGCAGTCCTCACCTATCAATTGCTATCCCTCTTTCTCAAACAAATTGCAAAGTGAAGAAGGAAGATTAGAAAATCGACACGTGTCAAATCATTTTTCCCTTTGGAGATTTGGTGAAATAAGAATCGGTCTCTGATTTTTTACTTTTTTAAAGGTTATTTTTTTTAAGGTGAAAAGCCTGTTATAAATATAGAAATTACAAAAAAACCAGTGGTCTAAATTTTCTAATTCAAAATTCGGCTCTAAGGTTTATCTAATCAAAAATCGGGTATGAATTAAATATTTAAATAATATTACAATACTAATATTTCAAACCCTAATTCATTTTCAATCCAATTTTTCTCTCACTACTTTCTCTCACCATCTCCTCTCTCTCCATAATCGGGCTACAGCGGTGCTCCTCTCGCCGCTTCTTTCTTTCTCTCTTTATCTCTCATCTCGTCTTCTCTCATGAAAGCGTCGTCGCTGCATTTGAATTGAGTCGCGAGGCTCAATTTGTGGTGGTGTTTGTAGATCTATTGTGACCAATAATTTAAATAGTATTGTGATGTTTTTGGTGTTGTTTGTGCATCAACTGTGTTTGTGGTGGTGTTTGGGTGGGGNGTTGGGTGGGGGGTTTAGGTGGTTGTGGTTGGTGGTGCAGGTGGTGGTTGTTGTGATGGTTTTTGTGGTGTTGGTGGTGAGGTGGCGGTTTGACTGTGGAGGTGGCGACGGCTTCGATGGTGTTTTGTTGGTGGGCATTTGTGATATTGGTTGCGGCAACGAGGAGGTGGTGTTGTTGGTTCGGTGACTGTCGTCGACGGTGAAGGTCACGGGGTGGTTACAGAAGTCGGTGGTGGTTACGGGGATGGTCACAGAAGTCGGTGAGGGTCACGGGGATGGTCACATAATCGTTGTGCAGTGCCTTGGCGGTGGGTGGGTTTGACAATGTTTTTGTGTACCGGTGGCATCGATGACACTTGTGGTTGTGATAATTTTTATTGACAGTGCATTGGGTGGCGACTTTGTGTGGTGGGTTGATAATGGTGGTGGCAGTTGACGGTGGTGCAGGTGGATGATCTGGTGATTTTGTGTTTGTGACTAAAAATATAATTCGTGACCTTAAAATTCGATAATCTGTCTGTAACCTAAAATTTATATAATATGTGACTGTGAAAAACTTTGTAACTATCTAATATGGAAATCTGTGATTGTGTGACGTATGAATTTTGATATATGACCAACGAATTGATTCTGACTTACAAAATTTTTGAACCGTGACCATAAAATAATAAGTGACGTATAAAAATTATTATTTGTGATTGGAAAATAATATGTGACTATCTAAATTGTGAATCTGTGACCATATTGTATAAATTGTCGGAATCGGAGTAGTCGTCGGAACAATCAACTGAATAGTCGTCGGAATAATTCCTGGAACCTGAGCAGTCGCCGGAATAGTTGCCGAAACGTTCGCCGGAATGGTAGGGGTGGTGAAGGTTATATTATAATTAAATATTTAATAAATTTATTTAATAATTAATTAATAAAAATATTTTTAATTAATAAATAAATACCTGAGTTTTGCATTTTGAAACTTGACACCTGAAAATTGAATTGTGTCAAAATTAACACCTGAATTATGAATTTTTCTCATTATAAATCCTTAATTTTATCTTAATTATATAAAAAAAGGCTTATGGCAGGACAGCATGTTATGGTTCATTTGAAACAACTTCGTTTTACTAATGTCATATCAAACATTAAAATAAAAGTCGGGGGTGACGATCACGTTCTCCCTCCTCGTTCTAATTTCTCAAAGGGCAGAATTACCTTTTTAGTCGAAACTTTGAGAATACTTGTAAAAATTCTGAATATTAATTTTGGAGTTTCCAAGTTACAACTACTCGACTCTAGGGCAAACTTCTAGATCCCAAATAACTAAGAATTGAGGCAATAGTTGTCTTCTCTTTCGGTGGATCAAACATGATCTAATTTAACAATAGATATTTGTAAAACACAATGTGAAAAGCTCAAATATAAACAATAATGGTCTTTATAATTATTTTCAAGTCGTTAAATTCTCTAATTTTTCTTTAAAAATCCTAATATTTAACGTCAAATTCCCTATCTTCAAATTTGGATGTAAACATCTCAAACTATAATGAAATGTCGATTACCAATTCCTTTTTATAGATTAGATTTAAAAAAATCAACTTTCTGGCGGCTAAGACAATAAATTAAGGACCATCACTGTAATTTTTCAAGAAATAGATAAATTATGAACCAAAATATTATTTCAAATATTCAAATATTAAATTGTATTGTAAACTTTGCAATTGATGGAAAATGTTTTTACAAACGTTGCTATTATTTTAAGGGATAATTGCAGTTGCGGTTTCAAACCTTTCAATTTTTTGGAGACTATACCTTAATTTTTTATTTTGGTGGTTGCAATCTCAAACAATTCACTTTAACGACAGTTGAGTCCATTGAACATATTCCATCCAATGCTCTGTTCGTCAACTTAAAATAAAATGTTTGACACAAATTGATAAATTAAATGAAGAGTAAATGATATATTTACAATTTCTATAATAAAACAATTAACCAAAACAAAAGTACCGATCATCTTCTCCACCCTTCCCCTTCCCCTTCCCCAAAATTAAAAATTTCGGAAACCCAATCGTTGCTGCCGCCCATCCACACGACACCAGATGAAGAAATCCAAAAGTTAATTTCAAACTTAGAAGCCAAGATAAATTTAATAATATTAAGACCATCTTGTATGCTTTGGAAATTTTGTTTAGAATCCCAATAAATTATCCACAGAAAAGTACATATATCTCAAATCTCTTCAACTGCTTGATACAATCATCGTCATTCCAGCACCACCTGGCCCTTTTGGTAATTATAAATTTCTTCAATTTGTTCTCTAATATTTGCCTTACAAGGAGAACAAATTGTGGATCAATAATCGATACCAGAATTGGACGAACTTCATTTGTCTAATTGGTATCTCATATTGTTAACATCAGTTGATCTTCTTCATTATTTTATGGGGGCAGAATTAGCTTTTGCAAATCTACAGTTTGATCATATCCAAATTTTTGTATTGTTGTTTGAGATTTGGGTATGCAGTGGTGGCGATTTGTGGTGACAGTGGCTGGCGGTGCAGCGATGGCAGATGGATGGCAATGGCGACAGTGACCAACTTTCCTGATTTTTCATTTTAGGGAAGGGGTGGGGATGGGGTCTTTGAAGAATATGAATGGTACTTTGTTTTGGTTAATTGTTTTATTATAAAAAATTGTAAATACCATTTTATTCCTCATTCAATTTGTCAAGTTGAGTCATACATTTTATTTCAAGTTGACTAACGGAGTTTTAAATGGAATATGTTCAACGGACTCCAATTGCAGTTAAAGTGAAAAGTTTGGGACTGTGGCCGCCAAAATGAAAAGTTAAGGTATAGTCTGCAGAAAACTAAAAGATTTGGGACCGCTGCTGCAATTATCCCTTATTTTAAACAATCTCGTTAATATACAGTAACATCAACTCGTGACTTGCTTCAAAATTTGTAATATTTTTGTTTGTTGTTATTGAAAAGAACAGAGAGTACTACTTTTACTTTGTGAACTTAATCCTTATGCTTTTTTAAGTTTTTGGAATGTTTGACATTGTAAAGATTTTAGAATCCCTATTTGTTTTAACTTTTTCGCTGGATTAAGTATTGATTAGCGACGAATCGTAATGAATGTTTAAATCTTTTCGATTTAGTTGAAACGTTATGGATTACAAATATTGTATATTGTATTCAAATTTGTATAATCAAACTGTTTGATTTAAGAGAGTCTTGCACTCTCACTCCTCATAGATTTCCTTCACATCCCCAAAATTCAAATTCGTGAACTTTGTTTTATGAAAAACTTAAGTTAAATTTGGTACTAACGACTTGAGTACAGAGGTTAGATCCTTATACCTACCTAAGAAGTTTAGTTATCTTAAAAAAAAAAAAGCAAGTAAAAAATTATTTTAAAAAATACAAGATTTTGAACAAAAAATTCATCGAAAGTTATCTTTTAAAAAGTTCATACGTGTTTGATAAAAGAAGTTGCACATTATTTTTTTTGAATTATAAGTTAGTTTTAATTGCTTCTACGTTTTTTTCAAGCTCTGCCAAACGTGCTCTTGGCTTGTTTCGTGTTGCTAGTTGAGCAGTTGCATAGCATGTGGACTCACCATAACCACTGGCGAATGGCGATGGACCACCCTTGTTGGTGTTGCTAGTTGAGCAGTTGCATAGCACGTGGACTCACCATAACCACTGGCGAATGGCGATGGACCACCCTTTTTGGTATTTTTAATGTTCTAACATGAGTAGATAGAGAAATATTAAGTCCATGTTTAATTGGTGTTATTTTTCTTAGAACTTGGAAAAGGAATTCAATTTTCTTGGTTTTGGCTTTTTTGATTGCCACAATTTTTTAGGGAAAATTTTTTCCCCCTACCCCTATTTTCCTCAAAATTGATAAAAGTTCTTCTAGGTGTTGTTGCCCTTTTTTTTTTTTTTGCAATGAAAACAAATTTTATAACTAGTTGTAAATTTTTTTTCACTTTTACGAACAATTTTCATGTAAAACAAAGTCAAATAAATACTAAACTTTGATTAAAAAAAATGATTTTTTTAAGAATGGAAACAAATTTTATAACTAATTGTAGAAAACATTATCACTTTAATGGACAATTTTCATGTAAAATAAAGCCAAACGAATACAAATTTTAAAAATTTTCCTGGTGGAAAATTATACCAATCAAACACAGTAAATTAACAATTCCATGCAAAATAATTTCTAGGCAATTACTTTATTTGGAATTCATTTTCTTTCCACCAATTTTCCACACTTGTAATCAAACGGACCCTAAGTGTGTAAGTCCGTGGAAAAGGTGACTAAACCACACTTTGACTCTTGGAGTAGGGCTCGACCTCAATGTATATGGAACGAGTTTTTTCCTAGCCATGTCATCGAGTAGAGTTGAGCAACTCGAAGCTCGGGCTCAGCTCGAACAAAAGAGGTTAGCGCTTTTGCCTTAGTTTGCTTTGCTAAAAAAAGAGGCTTGACCCAAGCTTTCAGCTCTAGCCGGCTCCTTTTTTT